GGGGGGGGGGGGGGGGGGGGGGGGGGGGGGGGGGGGGGGGGGGGGGGGGGGGGGGGGGGGTTGGGCGGTGTGCTAACCGAGAGAAGGAGGGGGGAATAATTACGTCGAGAGGATCGTTCGTGGTGGTGGGTATTAGGAGTTCGAATCCTGAAAGAATCAGATGACAAGAAAGATAACTCGGTAAAGGGAAAACAAAAAATGGAGAGAGAGATGTTGAAGTGTGTGTGAGAGATTAGATTGAGAGCGTGTCCAGTCACGACAGGAACGCAGCAGACGGCCGGCGATCGACAAAAGAGACGAAGCCAAAATGCTGCTGGAAGTGGGTGGGTGGGTGAAGGCGATATGCATGGGATGACGTGAGAAGCAGAAGAAAACGAATAGGAGCAGAAGAAGAAGAGAAGAAGAAGAAGAGGAGGAGGAGGAGGAGGAGGAGGAAAAGAGGAGGACGAGGAGCAGAGCGAACATGGTTCAGTTCGAACTCCAGTGAAAATACGTACCCCAATTCTGAATTACGCAGGGCCGGTCCGTTCGATGATGATATCTCTCAAGGCCGTCGCCCTTGAAGAAGAAGAAGAAGAAAAGCAAAAAAAAGAAAAAAAAAACTTGATCTGTTGATGAGAGCAGATGATCACCAGTCATCTAAAAACCGAGTCAGATACATACAAAACCGGCCGCAATTACGGCCAGATACATCCCCGGAAACTCCCGTGCGAGTAGGCCGTCAATCCTGAGAGCAGATCGAGCAATTTGATTTTTTACTCAGATGAGTCGTTGTCTTGTCGTATGTTCAGATCAATCAATCGATGTCTTAATCAAGCCTGCCCGTATGCACCGAACACGAACTCTGTCAGAATGATAAACCCTCCACAACTCTACGTTGATTGATTGATTGATTAATTGATCGAACGATTGATTGAGTGATTGATTAATTAATTGATCGATTGATTGATTGATTGATTGATAGATTGATTCATTGATTGATTGATAGGAGTATCGGCCAATTCATTGATTGATTGACTGATTGATCGATAGATCGACTGATTGATTGATTGATTGATTGATTGATTGATTGATTTTTCATTCATTGATTGATTGATTGAGTGATTGAGTGATTGAGTGATTGAGTGATTGATAGGAGTATCCAGCCATCGACCAAATCTTCAACACATGCATTCAATCTCCAGATTATAAACAAAAAATCATCATCATCAATAACCATCGTCATCACTCATCACGTATCATCACTCATCACTCATCATCATCATCATCATCATCCCTCCCATCCAAAAAATAAAAATAAAATCCGTTGTTCCTCGATCGCCGTTTCGATCCAAGTAAAGGATAACGTCCCAACGATACGACGACGGATACTCCTGGCCCTCTCTTCTTTCTTTCTCTTTTTTTTCTCCCTCGTCTTTCTTTCTCTCTCTTTTTTTTTCCCTCTTCTTTTTTCTCGTTTTTTCGTTTTTCTCGTTTCTTCTTCTTTTCTTTTCCCAACCTGAAATCCCCCCCTTTTTTTTTACGGGCCCAGTACCCAAGGCAACAATACAATGAACCAAAAACAAATTCCAGATTCAGCGGGCCACAAGATCTCATGCTGCTCACACCTAACCGAGCCCGTCCCCAGTAGCAATGGACCAGAAAAAAAGAAAAAAGAAATTTATTTCGTTTTTTTTCCCGGTTTTCCTCTTTTTTTTCCC